GTTCCTTTTTATTTATATTATGTTTTCGTTATACACTGTATTATATAATATTTTTCTGAAAATGACTATATAGGATTAAAAACTTTTTTTTATTATAGATATAGGTTTTGAAAGTACATGCTTTCAAATGGATTCGTGGCCATACATTATTTTCCTTTAGTAGATCATTTAAAAACTGCAATCTTTTTTATAGAGCAAATAAAAGACAAGTAAAGGCAAATAAAAACAAATAACAATAATTTATTTATAATAGTAATAATAATAAATTTACATATTTTTTAATAAAATTATTAATCAATGTAATCAAAATATAGTTATTGGTTGTTCCTAGACCCAGACAGCACACCAAATCCTTTGGATATCCACTGGACATCCCAATATCCACTTAATGTCCAGTCCATGGTGGATATCTATTTTATATCCATGAGATGTAATTTATAGACATGCAAATGTCCATAGAATATCCATAGAATATCTTCTATATCCTGGGATATATACGGACATTTGGATATCCATATTAAATCCATTGGATATTTCTGATATCCTGTGGATATATTGCATATCCACAAAAGATATTCTGTGGATATCTCTGGGATTTGGTGTGTTGTCTGGGGATGTAATATCTGTTTGTAGGCGTAAGTTATTTATAAAACAAAACAAAAAAACGAAATTAACATTAATGCTACCAAATTCCCATTAAATTTATTTATTATTTATTTAGTGTACCACTTAACAGTTAAAAACCAATTACATATAGAATTGGATGAATACAGAAAAAAAATACATTTTATTCGTGAGATACATCTAACACATTTTCAGGGAAAAATGTTCAGTTACATTTGACTGCTTATATTAGAGCATAAAACATTTTAAAATTATCACACAAAAACTAATATACTATATTAATATATGCACAATAGATACTATATACACATACAAGAGATAATATAAAATATAGTAGGTACCCTACTATTCGTAATAGACGTATTTAATAACTTTACAAGTAGAACACAATAGCTTCTTTTGCTTCAACTGACTGATTTTGTTGAAACTTGCTAGATTCTTCTATTGGGCAAGAGCTAATTTTCTATCAAAAATAACTTAGCTTAAATTTCTTTCTTAGGTATTGCTTTCCTGGAATCATAATAATGCTTGTTTATATAAGAAAATGTCTTATTTGACTCTAATAAACTTTCTTTTTCCTTTGTATGTTCTCTTTCTCCTTCAGAAGCAGTTTTTAGGTGATTAGTTTATCAAATTTTAAACAATTTTTCATCTTTTAAAGAGAGTTAAAGATTGAAGTTCCACGTCTTGCCTATTTTCATTGGATTTTTAATAATGTAAGAGCTATTCATACCTTTTCATTAGCCTTCTATCTTTCTTTTCCAACTTCGAAATTCCCAATGTTGGGAACTGAGATAAGGGCATATTTTATATTGAAGCCTTTAAATAATAATGTTATACTAATACTTACATGTTTACTATTTAACAAAATAAGGAAATAAGTGTGTTTCGAAAGTTACATATATATGAATATCTAATTACATTACTTCTAGTGTTTATATGGAAAAAACTTACTCATTTCGAAAGCCAGGTACATGTACAGCTTTTGGTATAGCTCCTTTTATTAATTTATTGCTACCTTTATTATAATATTCAGTTAAAAAAATGGTCTGAACATAGACATGTGTTGTTAGACATGCTATTAATGCTCAAACTGAGCACTTGACACTAAGTCAGTTTGGTTGTGAGATCAGTAGAAAATCTGAAATAAGTAAAAAACATATTTAAAAAGTTAATGGCAAATAAATATGTACAATACAAAAAGGTATCTAACCCATTTTACAATACACAAAAAGACTAATACATTAAGCATTATATCGCAAAGGAAACAATTATTTTCTGTCGAACGCAACGAGTTGCGGAGACGCTCAAATGAAGAACTTCCTGCAAACATGTTTTCTTATTAATTTGCCCATTTCCCATTTTAAGTTACGTTTATGGAATATAAAATACTTGCGAAATGTCAACCGGGATCCTTTTAAGAATATTTTATTGCAAACTATACAAACTCTTGGCATGATTAGCATTTATTTTAAAATAAAAACACACTGTAAAAGTTTATAAAAGAAGCACCTCGTCCAAATTATCTTCAGTAGCCCCAAAAACCGATCTTTTTAAAAACCAAAACAAGACGTCTAATGAAATGTCATTTAACACAAATACGTGCGCTATTTAAATTCGCCAATCATAAATCGTTGTGTACCTAACTCGCCAATCATAATGCGTCGTGTAGCTAACATCGAAGGGGTTACCCCCCTCAGTACATAACAAACCCATTTGAGTAACACCTCTATTCTTATCAGAGCTGTTTAAGATCATTTTAAAAACGATTTAAATTAAAGATCATAAATCATTTGCATTTGAACAAATGATTTAAATCAAAGATCGATTTTTTAAAAAGAAAGATTTAAATCAAAAATCTTTTTTAGATTTAAATCAAAAATCTTTTTTAGATTTAAATCTTTTTTACAATTTAAATCATTTAAGGAAAGATTTAAATCTTTTCGAAAGATTTAAATCTTTTCGAAATATCTAAATCTTTTTAAACGAAATAAATATTTTCAAAAGATTTAAATCTTTTTATAGATTTGGGTAACTGTTTAAAAAATGCCAAAGATAATGAATACTTAAGTAATGTGATTTTCTCATAAAGAAAACGCAAAACTCGATCAACTTCTCTTGTATTTATTTTTTATTGTTATTAGCCCAATGCAATTCTTACGGAAATATTAATTTATGATGCCACAAAACAATGGAGACCTAGTTTTTAAGAAAAGTGATTTTTTTTCTGAAAAATCACTTAAATCCGTCAACTCTTCCTTGAATTAACGTGCTTAATATCATACATACATAAACACCCCACATACATCAGACTCTTTAAAAATATGTTTTCTTTGTACTTAGGAGACTCTCCCGGAAAAATGTATTTCATTTTCAAAATCTCCCGGCTATGAATAATGAAATTGAGTAAGTTGAATTAAAAGAGTTCTTCTCTCAACGTGAAGTTATTGCGAGTAAATAAATAACCAAAGTGAGCGCGTTTGGGTTAATTTTATTGAAAAATGTGTAGATGAATCAGGCAAAGAAATAAAAAATTTAATTAATTCGCTCTATCTATGCCAAGCGTGTTTATTGAACTGGTCAAAAAGTCATAATCGTCTTAATGCAACTCATGTCAAATCTGAAATAAGTGTGCATAAATTTAAAATACATATGTTAAGAGTTTCAGGATATTGTAAAATTTCATATTTAATAATCTTTATTCATTGCAATTATTTGTTACACTTTACTATTTTTTGTTTTTCTTTTCTCTCAGATTTCTGATTCAATCCTACTGACATGCTGACTAGATTATTATTATTATGGAATAAATAGGTTGATAACGATTTTGACGAATCAGGTGATGTAAATCGTTTTAAAAAGATTTAAATCTTTAAGAAAATTTAAATCATTTTAAAAAGATCGCATTATTTTACAGATTTAAATCATTTCAGAAAGATTTAAATCAATAAAAAGATTTAAATCGTTTTACAAAGATTTAAATCGTTTAAAAAAGATTTAAATCGTTTTAAAAAGATTTAAATCGTTTTAAAAAGATTTAAATCGTTTCAAAAAGATTTAAATCGTTTAAAAAAGATTTAAATCTAATTTTTAAATAAAAAATCAAAGATACTTTTTAAAAAGATTTAAATCATAAATCAAAAATAATTTTTTTAAAAAAGATTTAAAATCAAAGTATTTAAATCAAAAAATGTATTTAAATCAAAAAATGATTTAAATCTCACTGATAGGTGACAGCTCTGATTCTTATATGCTCTAAGATAAACATTCTAATCAAATTTTTAAATAAATTTTAAATTCAATTATTACCCTAATACTTTATCCTCTCTTTCAGTCCTGGGTGCTCCTATTTACCGTTGGCAGTTTCCTGGTTGTGTTCAGCTTGTCGACTGCCCCCAAGCGAGAAAAGTTTTTATCCTGTATTGTGACGTCTATGTAGTAACTTTGTATGCCCCTCTACGTATATAACTCAAGTAGTAACATTAATAAGCTTTTTACTTTGAAATATATCAATTTAATAGAGGGTATCCAATTGCTGAAAGCAAGACAAGGATACTCTTCCCGTTGTTGGCTGGGTAAATTATCCTGTGGGATAAAGGAAAAATAATAAGAAGAACACCCCATTTCATAAATTTATAAAGCAATTACTTAGCACTGAGCTTTAATCTTTCATCTTTAATTTTTAATGTTTAATGTAACTATTTTTTATTCAACCTTATTGTCTTTTTAAATCTTTTAAAATCTTTACCTATTTTAGTCTATATATAATGAATTATACCACGTTTTATTCACTACATTTTAATTATAATTTTAAAATTGTTATTTATTTCTCAAATAGGATTGCCCGTAAATAAATAGGTAAATAAAAAGTCGGGTAGTGATGAATCAGACACCGTTATATGATTGGAAATATGTTATGTTCGATTAATTATTTTGTTTAGTTCGCAGTATTATTTTACCTAAAATTCATTATCATTTACATTTAATAGTTTCATTTAAAGTTCAATCTAATTTTAATGTAAAAAAAGATCATTTAAATTGTGAAATAATTTATTCCTAAAACGTTTTTAAATACAAAACATAGATTTCGAAATACTGAAATGTTCAGGTAAAAAAAATAAATAATTGTTAATATTTACAAGAATATAGAAAATCAATGATTTAAAATTTGATAAAATAATGTTAAAATTATCAATAAATAATGAATGATATGTACAACTTTATAATCTAAAACTTAAATCTAATTGTAAAATCGGAAATTTTCTATGATACAATAGAAATAGTATTTTACACATAATTTATGGAAAGTTAACTAGTTTATTGTTAGGAGTGTGGTCCATTGTTCTGGTAGGAGAGTTAATGCTAAATTATGTGAGTTAGTTGAGATATTCTCCGCTTTCTTTCAACGCCTTTGTAGCACTTTCGATCCTTTCTTTTAGAAAACTTCTAATTTCGCGAATGGGTTTCATTAAAATTATTGGGACGTGGTCATCTTGCCTCTAAAAAAAAATTAAATTAAGTAAATATTCATTCTTGAATTACTATTACAGTTTGCTCAAATTTACTAATACAGGGGTCGACATAAGTCAGGTAACAAATTTGTATAAAAAATGCAGTGTTAATATGAATGTATTAGAAGAAATTACAAAAAGGATTCGAAAAAGGGTTATTTTAGGTATTTAAATTGATCAATGCATTGACACAGTGCTGGCTCGTGGCCAACATTTTGGGGATTCACAATGACAGAATATAGGTATCAGTACAGATGTATGAAAAAAACTTTTAGTGTTCCAGACTTATACCGACCCCTATAATATAGCTTCAAAAATTTTTGTGATCTAATAATAATTATTGATGAGGTATTAACTTGTATGTATGTAGGTAGGTTTTTGTGAAGGTGAAAACATATCGTTCATGTGCAAGAAAATGATTACATCTCAAAAATCTTCAATACTGAGATTTCAAAGAAAATCTATTTAAAATTATCTCAAGTTTTATAAGAAAAAAGTTAGTTTAACAGCACTAGAGAGCAGATTTAACTCTCCAATTTTTAGGCTTACCAAATTAATTAAATTTGTTTTTTTTTTTAATTATTGAACGATATGTCGCTCCGTGTAGACTTGAATAGTTTACTACGACTATCTCCCTAACCAAATATCAGCGGCTATTTCTCTAGAGACGTTGATTAATATTATGCTATTTTTGTTATTGCTAAATTTCTCTAATATTTTACAATTTGATTCTACATAATTTTGGCATTAATAACACAGGCTTGCGTATAAATACTCTGTAAAATGTGAATTGAACTTTTCAACTGAAATTGAGTATTTCAGTGATGCTGATTTCAAATCTGCTTTTAGTTTTTTTCTATCACGTAAGGTTTTTAAACAAAATACTACAAGAATACAAAAAGTAAAAATATATTTATAGATACTTGGGGGAAGTAGTTAAAAAATAACATACATGTCGGATTTCGGATGTTTAGGGTGTCACCGTCAGACATTGTTATGACAAAACACTACATTTAACACTTGTAAAACTTGTTAATGCAATATAGAACAATAAACAATGTTGACAGCACTTTAAACGACATTATACAAATAATTATTAAGGAAATACGGATAATAATACGATATCAATTGTTAATCAATTAAAGAAATGATACTAGCGATCCGGAGCCAGCGTACCACCGCCCGATCGATCATATTTCTCTAATCTGCTCCTTCCTTATTTTCCATCAATATTCTGCTGGCTCCGTTCTGTCCCTCTTGTCTCTCACTATGAAAGGCAAGTGTGTATCATTTTGCTAAGTCATCACTTATAAAAATCAAGTAAAAGCTTACAACTTATCTTGAAATACCGACTACCAATAAATCAAACGTCTTAAAACTATAAACAAAAGTTTAACATTGGCGCCGCCGACAAACATTAATCCTTTGTTTTCTTGAAAAATCTTTCTCTCTTTCTGGAATAGCTTCTTTTTGTTGTTTTTCATGCATATTCTGCGGTAGGACGGTTCCTTTTAAGCATTCAACAGTAGTCGGCCAACATTTTGATATCGCCGTTCCATCTCTTTTATGTCCTGGTGAAAGCGCTCCCCTTGCCAAGATTATCCGGAAAATAGTCAAGATGAGCATGTAGAAAACGAATTTTTAAGCTCATGTTACAGCCTAACTTTCTAAATTTGTCCAACATGTTTTCAACAATACTTACAAATTCGGGGTCTTCGTAGTTTCCTAAAAACTTATTTATAACTTGTTTAAAAGCTGAACATGCTTATTTTTCGTCTTCCTGCATAACCGTCTCAATTTCATTAGTTTTCATAAACCTTCTTATTTTGGCCCTTTAATTTAGCTTCAAAGAGACCCGGAAATGTTTCACACAAGTACTTAAAGCAACCACCATTTTTGTCTAGAGCTTTGACAAATTGTTTCATCAGCCCCAATTTTATATGTAGAGGGGGTAATAAAATTTTCTCAGGATCAACTAGGCTTTCCCGAATTACGTTTTTGGAGCCAGGCGTTAAATTTTTTCTTGGTGGCCAGTTTTGGTCTCTTGCTCTACTGTCCCACTCACATAGGAAACATGGGTATTTCGTATATCCGGATTGTTGACCTAAAAGCAACCCTAAAATTTTAAGGTCACCACATAGAATCCAGTTATGTTGTCTGTAGTTTATTCTTAAAAGCAGTACCTCAAGATTTTCGTAATTTTCTTTTAGCTGAGTAGAATGACCAACAGGAACAGATGCATATAAATTGCCATTATGAAGTAAAACAGCTTTAAGATTTCTCTTTGAAAAGTCTATAAAAAGTCTCCACTCGGCAGGATTGCATTCAGGAGCACCTAGCTGAATAACCAAGTCAGATACATTTTGACAATATACAAGTGTATGCAAAGTAATTGACAAATTCAGCGTCACGATTTCTATACCAATAAAATGTAGTACCTGGAGCAAGTAATTTTTTTTCTTTGAGCTTTGATCCTAAAACCTCAGAGGTCTTTTGGAAGTCCCAAATCTCTGACTAAGTCATTCAGTTCTACTTGAGAAAATAGCTGCGGTTCACAGGTTCCTCAGATAGATGGCTCAAAAATGTCAATTTCTGAATCTGTTGAAGATTCTGATTCGATAGACTGTAATACTTTAGGTGGAACAGGTACAGGTATATCAACGTCATGTGGAACTGGTCTTATTGCAGGCGAAATATTAGGATAGTTAATATACTTTAAAGATTTTGTGTTATGAACTTTAATATCACAAAGACAAAAATAGCAGTCGTCAATGTGATTTTTAGGTTCTCACCAGACCATTGGTATTCTAAATGGTAGGGCTTTTCTTGTTCCTTTAAACCAATGCCTCAAGACTTCTTCGCAAATCTTGCAGATAACATGTGGCGCCCAAGGTTTATCTTGATCTCCAAGTCTGACTGTAAAATATGCATTTTTTTTCGAAATCAGTAATGTTTCTTTTAAACTTCTTTACTATAAAGTGTCCACAAATATAACAAAAGTCATCAGGCCTATTTTTACAACACCTACTAGACATTTTTTTAATAGAGTGCACAACGAAACACCGATAGAATTCGATAGACAACGCCTGTCTCAATACCACGGGGATACTAAATATATCGCCCCCTTTTCTGAATAAATCGAATCTCGGGGAATCCCCAACAATATTCTAGTAAGCGCCGGTAAATCCCCCTACAAATTCGCAAATTAAAACGAGGTTTTAGCGCGTCTCAACGTTTTGAACAAAAATAAGGAATTCACATTAATTTGTTTGTGATGTTCAGGGATAATACCTTTGATATTAGTTTACAAAAAAAAGTTTACGTGATAGAATAAAAAGAGGGTTATTTTATCTATATAGAAGTTGTAAATAGGCGAAAAAAAAAATAAAATGGCTAGATTTTTGTGGGCTTGTGTAATCAATTGATTAAAGCCTGTAATCAGATTATTAATGCCTAAAATTATGTCTCATCAAATTGATATTAAAATATTCTCGATATTTAGATTCAACAAAAATAGCTGACTATTATCAAGGTCTTGGTATATTACCCTTGACTATATCATTTAAATTCATATAATATGCTTTTACGTTATAAAATTGATAAGCATATACTGACAGAGACTGACAGCGCATATGTACATATATATCTTGTTAATTACTCATCTCATCACGTTCTTTTAAACATATTTCTTTTTTAATTAGATTGAGAAGTAAATCTATTTAATAAGAATAAATAAAACTTACTTGGAATAAGCATTCGCCCTCGAAATCAACCAGTTTATATTTCCGAGCTCGTAGTAATATTCCAACAACTTTATCTGAGATTCCAGTATATATCTGAAACAAAACGTAAAATGCTGTTAAGTATTTTAAAGCAGATAAATATTATAAATGGCGCGACTATACGAATTTTTGGCGAAATATAATCAGAGAACTGAATACAAATGTTTGGATCTTTCTGACAAAAAATAAAACTTTCAGGCGTTGTTTAATCACAAATACCTATCTTCACATATTTTGGCCAGATCTGGCAACGCCGATAACTATTGGCAGCTTGATGTGCGCGATCAACAGAACTCGAACATCGACACCGAAGAGATTCACAGCAAATTTTTTCATGTTATAGTTCATCAACTAAGAATATTATCAAAAACAATAACTTTCAATGTGTTAATGTATACACCATACACCATCAACAATCTATTTCAGGCGTCCTCTGTTCCCCTCTGAAGGGTACCGATAGGCTCCCTCAATTAGGTTAAACAAAGATGTGCTTTTAAAATCCATTAATTATACTCCAATCTCTAATTAAGGTTATTGCTAAAGTGAAATGGTTGAAAAGAAAAAAATCAGAAAATTATATTGTATCATTTATGTTCAGTACTCTTTCTTTCTCTTCCTGAATCTGTAAAAGCACTCCTCCAATTTCCACATTACTATCATCAGTATCCAGGATAAATTCACCCTCTGGTAGTGGGTAGCCTAGCATTGGTACTGTTGTTAAATGCTTCTTAAATGTTTCTAAAGCAGTTTGGCAGTCTTCGTCCCAGCAGAATTCTATTGCTTCTTCTCTGAGTCGCGTTAGTGGTTTAGCAATATCTTTATGAATCTTCGGTAGTACGTACAAAGCCCAAGAAAACTTCTTATTTGGTGTTTGTCCTTGGGTTGTGGCGACTCTTTGATAGAAGCAACTTTTTCCTTATCTATAGCCACGCCATCCTTGCTAACTAAATATATGACCCAGTTAATTAACTTTATTTTGAAATAGCTGGCATTTCTAGGGGTTTAGCATCAATTGGTAAGCTTGGAGTATATTAAAAACATCTAAGTCCTTAAGATGTTCCTCAAACGTCTTCCCCATGACTATGATGTCGTCTAAATACACCAGACATGTTTTCTAGGATAACCCTCTCAATACATTTTCCATAAGTCTTTGAAATGTCGCGGGGGAATTACATAGTCCAAATAGCATGACATTAAATTGCCACAATCCAGATCCGGTGGTAAAAGCTGTCTCTTCTTTATCTACTTGGTCCAGTTCCACCTGCTAATATCCAGACTTCAAGTCTAAGGTAGAAAATAGTTTACTTCCGGCCAATGTGTCCAAGATATCTTTCTTGATGACATTGTTTAACTGACGATAATCCACACAGAACCTCGTAGTTCCATCCTTTTACTGGACCAGGGCTATCGGAGAGACACATGTGCTAATAGAAAGATATATCACCCTGCCTTTTTGCTGCTTTCCTGTATATTTAAAGCCTCCAAATAAATATTGAAAGCGCGTTTCCGTCTATACCACCTTAGACTGACAGAACTTGGGTCTCCATCGCAGTCAAACTGTTCGATATTTTGATACATTAGTCATTTCTAAAAGTTTATCATATATTACTAAATAAATAAAATATGACTTCAAACGCTGACGATATTGCTATCACTGGTGAAAAAATCCAGACCATCTTGAAAGCCGCCAATGTAGAAATCGAACCCTACTGGCCAGGTCTTTTCGCCAAAGCCCTTGAAGGTGTAAATATCAAGGAACTCATCACCAACATTGGGTCTGGTGTAGGCGCAGCCCCAGCTGGAGCTCCTGCAACAGCTGCACCAGTTGCCGCTGCCGCAGCTCCCGCCAAAGAGGAGAATAAGGAATCTGAACCTGAAGAATCTGATGACGATATGGGTCTTGGTCTCTTTGACTAATAATTGTACAGTTTTTTTAAACTTAAGCAATAAACAATTTTATTTAATTTTTATGAAACATAATACTACAAGATGCTTATAATAGAAAGTGTTCTAAACACCCTTTTATATATTTATATTTGTGCTAGTTCTAAACTTTTTGTTTTTTTTTAAGTTCCAGACTTATTTCTCATAGTTCTAAAACCTCTTTTTTATATATTGAGTTCTTATTTTTTTTTGTTTCGAGTTCTAAACCTTTTTCATCCTTTTTTTGGACCTGGACTACCGGAGAAACCCATGTGCTAGTAGAAGGTTCTATCACCCTGCCTTCATCTATTTTCCTCTCTCTTGACCTTTGGTAAAATCTTTGAGCTGATTAACCAATCAGCCTGGCGTCACCAGTGTCAATTTTATATTTTGCAATAGAAGTTTTTCCTTCTTTTGGTACAAAAATGTCACGATATCGTCGAAGAAACTCCTTTATTTTCTTGTTCTCTAATTGATTCAGAAATTGACCAGCAACTGCAATCGTTTGCTCGATTTTGTCATTGACATTATCAGAAGTGGTTGTCTGATGAATTATGGAAGTTATTGCTACACAGGTTTCGATTCTGGTCTCTTTCTTGATTAACGTTTATAAGACATAATTTATTTAGCAGTCGTGACCAACCCCTTTCCAATCAGTATTCCACATCCAATCTCTTCATCATGGTTCCAAGGTTCCATTATGACAGGTGTTGCTTTCTCCATAGTTTCTTGAAGCCTTGTTACTACAATTGTTTCAATTCTGCCAGGTATCACCGTATCCTCCTGTACAGCAACTGGCACGGTACTGTCTACATATGGATGTAGGAATACCTCTTCGGCACCAACTTTGATCACTCTGTTCTTAAAGTCCAACTAGAAACCATTTAAGTTCATTACATCCATTCTAAGAATAACATCTTCGATATCAGCGACAATAACAGTATGAGTGAACTTTTCTATACCAATTTTTATTTTCTCCTCAACGGAAGTCATCTTTCTTCTAAAGAATAAATATTAGACGAACATTTATTTTCCATAGAAGACATTTTGTTTTCCAAGTGGGAAGAAATTTCATCTTTTAAAGAAGAGATAACAGAAGAAACTTTAGTTTCTAAAGAAAATATTTCGTTTTTCACGGAAGCAACATCAGGAGACACCTTTTCTTCTAAGGAAGAAATATCAGAAAAAACTTTAGTTTCTAAGGAGGAAATGTCTGAAGAAACTTTACTTTCTAATGAGGAAATATTCGAAGAAAAATCGGTTTTCATATAGGATCCAAATCTTTACTTTCTAGTGCTTCTTTTTCAATTAATTTAGACTCTTTAAGTTCTTCCTAAAATGAAATAACCACAAAAGTTTTGTACCCTACACCAAGTATAAAAAAACAATTCTATCACAACCAAAAACTGTTATAAGTCTTTTCTTAACATACACTCAAGAAAATCTACAGAAGAAACCCAAAAATTGTTATATTTAAAAAAATCTACATAAAAAAATTTAAAAAGATAAATTTATAAAACTTTGAGGAATTTTTTTCTAATACTTACTGTAAATAGTTCTCCGAAACTGATAACTAATCTAGGATCGTCAGGTTTTTCTTCTGTTGTAAAAAGGCGTTCTCCAAATTGATTTATAACTTCGCAAAGTTCTAACATTTCCCTACTGACGTGAATCGTGGCTTTAAATGCTCTGAATTCTGAGAGAGATCCTTTCGGCGGCCTAAAAAAAATAATGAACATTTAAAATCCTCAAACTCTTCATTTTTTTATGTATGTTTATCGATAATGCTTTACCACCTTATCCGATTTTAATGATCCTTTTTTTGTTAGTAAGGGGGTACCTCAGGGGTGGTCCCATATAAATTAGGTCAAGATGTGGTGATGGCATCTGCACGTTTTTGATGAAGTCGGTTTTTTAAATTTTTAATTTCTAATACTTTTTTTTTTTTTGGTACAATGATTTATCTATTTTTTTATATTCCCTTACACACTCACATGGATATTAGTTTATCTACGATTACAAAATTAAAAAGTATGCTATTGCCTTCAACTGAACGAATATATTTCATATCAATTCTAGGTAGTGAGAACATTGCCAAAAATGAAATCCACCAATCACCGTTCATATTTTGATCAACCGACTGCTATTTGCAGATTCCTATGTCTTAAACTTACTTTCCATATTCTTCTTTAGAGAACGATGGCCTTGGTAAGCTGCTAGTTGGTTTTCCGCTCGAAAAGGGATTTACTTCTTGGCCTTGAACGTGGGCATCAGCAACTTTGTTGAAAAGGGCAACTTTGGAAGCAAGAGGTGAATCCTGTAAAAAAACAATAGTTTAAAAATTGATTCTAAGGATATTATGTTACTTCTTGATTATGTAATTAATTACTACCATAGAATAAGTACTAGCATTTCCAGTAAAATTTCAAATTCAGTTGTACCTAGTACTTATAACATTTCAAGCCCAAGTTTTTGAAATATTTCTGTTATAAAAAAAAAATTTTAACATTTTTTTATCCAATTGTTGGTTGGAAAATTTTTTTATCGCAAGATCCATAAACTAGACACTTCAAGCTTCAAATTGCTTTTTTTTTTTTCATTCACGTACGATCGTTTTTACCAAAGATATACCCACTCGAAAAATCGCAAAAAATTTAGTAGTGTATGATCTCCTAAGAAAAAAAAAAACATCAAAAATGCTTGGGACAGCTAGATTTTTATTCGAAACAGAACATTTTTCTATCATATTCTCAAATTTCATACGTTATTCCCCTCCTCTTCGTCACACCTAACCATTGGCGTAGATAGGGGATCGAGGAAATTAATCTCTCCCTATGAGTCCAGACTCGACGAGAGGGGGTTAGGGGGGGACAAATTCGCGGGGCCCGGGCACAAGGAAGGGGGGGCGGCAGCTTTACTTCTTTAGTTGAGAAAGTTTTATTTTTTTAGACGGTCCGAAGTTTGCCACAAAAGGGATCTTTTACAAATAATACAAGGTGAAGACTTTTTTCCTTTTTTTACTTTCCTATCTGTATACAGATTATAAGGAAAGTATATTTTAAGTTAACCTCTAAATATTTACAGAGGTGCTGCAATAGGTTGTACAAAATAACCGAAAAAAGCCTGTAATAACTAGATAGGAAAGTCGTGTGTTGGACACATCAGATGTTTTTTAGATTTGACTAAGAAAGGATATGATCTTGCTTGAGGACTTATGAGCGTATTAAATAAAAAGCCCTTCATTTATGATTACTTTCGAAATCATATCCTTCTCGCAGAAACCTATCTACGCCACTGCTGTTGCGTATTGCAAAGTCAAACATTTTTTGTAGTATGAGATATTGCCAGTGTCTACTTAAGTTAGTTGAATATGGAAAATGACGCATTTTCGTTAATTTTCTGATAACTCAGCAAGGGAGGGTCATCTCGAGGCCATCAAAAAAAAGGAATTGAAGCTAACTGAACCACCTATCCAATGCATATAGTGGTTATGTCGAGAACATTTTCTATCTATGATATTCATCAGGATTTTGTGCTAATTGTTGGTTGGAAAATTTTTTTATCGCAAGATCCATAAACTAGACACTTCAAGCTTCAAATTGCTTTTTTTTTCATTCACGTACGATCATTTTTACCAAAGATACAGCCACTCGAAAAATCGCAAAAATTTAGATTTTTTTTTGATCCCTTAATTTTTTCCACTAGTGTACTATTTTAGAAACGTGTATACTACGTTACATAATATTTATAAAAAAAAACTAGAATATATTTCTGAAATATTACTATAATATTTCTAAAATATTTCCAATATATTTCCAATTTTTATTTCAGAAATATTGCTGTGAAATATTATATTTACAGGACATTTTTATGTTTCAGGCACATTCCAGAAATGTTTCTGGAACGTGTCGTAATATTTATACATTAAAAATATTACAATGTAAAATTTTTAAAATATTTTCGAAATGTTTTTGATTATTGATGAAATTATGGATGGAACCAAGAAACCAATGTGTTTTTTAAAATGGAATATTATTAGATTTAAAATATATAGACAGTGAATTTTGAAATTTAGGGGCCTCGTGGAACTGTTTGTGTACACGTTTATGTAAATTAACAAAAGTAACAATTACATTCTTAATTTATAAAGAAAAATATGTATGTACGGCTCTGTACAACATCGTAAAACAATTTACGGTATTTTTTTTTATTGTGATCCAACTAGGTTTAGTTTAAACATTTAATAAAAAAACTTTTCATTTTCTGGTTTTTATTAGTTCAACGATTACTTACAAAATAGCCTTTCTATAAAATTGAAAATGTTTGTAGGTGGACATTTTGTTCCCACATAAACGGTGAAATAAACGATTGCAAATGCAGCCAAGATCATTTTAATCCAAAAACTATAACTTCAAATAATAAATCATGTGCTTAAATATTCCTGCTACTGATAATGACCCCTAACGACGATCCGATTTAACATTGAAACTGAAGCAAGATAGTTTTGCGTGACTTTGGCGGTTGTCGGGCGTATTGCTGTTGGAAATGTGCCATATTCTATTTTGCGTTTAAAAAAAGTTATGGCAGTATCCTTGAATATAAATCAAATAGTTGATCTAGAGTTATGTCAAGAAAGTTAAAAGTTTTTAATTTATTCTATAAATAGGGAAGTAGGTATAGGTACATTTTCACACACAGATTTCCTGTGGAGTTCCTCAGGGATCAATACTTGGGCCTTTATTATTTTTACTATATACCTCCAACTTTGGGAATAGCATTAAGAATGGTAAGCCATTCTTTTATGCAGATGATACTCAAATTAAATTTCCTTTGGATCATGATAATGCTTTAGAAGCAAGTAATCGTATTAATAAAGATCTTGACAGACTAGTTATCAAGATAACAATTATACATTCTTAGCATATTCTCAGTATATGCTTTTTAATAATGTGCATATGCCGAAAATATATTTTATTTGCATTTAGAACATTCTCAGAATATACCAAGAATATGCTACGTGACGTTGTTTATACGTGCTATGCAGATACTGAGAATGCACTCGAGTATGTCTACAGTATATTCTAAGTATCTACCCAGATAACAATTATACATTCTTAGCATATTCTCAGTATATGCTTTTTAAGAATGTGCATATGCTAAGAATATACTTTATTTGCATTCAGAACGTCCTCAGAATATACTAAGGACGTTCGTTATATGTGCTATTTAAATACTGAGAATGTACTTTAAGTGCGTGTACAGTATCTGATTAAGGGACTGTTAGCGGCTGCATCTGAGAATATTTTGAAGGGTAATTAAAACAAATAGGTGATTTTTATTCTCAGGGTGCACCTCATCTTGAATAAAAATCGACCTGTTTTTTTTTAATTATCTTTCATAATATTATCAAATACAGCCACTAACAATACTTAATCACCCTGTAAAGTATGTAATATGTATCTACTTTCATCATTTGTTAGTATGTTCTAAGCATATTCTTAGTTTTTAGCATATACTCGGTATTTTAATACAGGGTTTCATTTAAAAATGAGACTTTCAAATATTCATATCATATTCATAATCCCACAGGTCCGGGTCCTGTGATTGGTAGTTCTGATTCCACTTTTCCACCCTTTTCATTTCCTTGGAGATGTATTGATTATAAATTTAATAATCATAAATATATATTTATGATGAAATTAAATAAAAAATGATTTTAGATTTAGAAGCACATTCTAAATTTTCAAATTTATAATTAATATTTTTAAATAAACGACCTCGCAATAAAAATTCCAATATGACTACGACTATTACAAAAAAAATCGGGATTATAAATAGTAGATACGTCCTTCCCCATTCTTCAAACATAAATTTCCGGTAAGCATAATAAAAATCATCGCTTTCGATGAAGTGACCTTAAACGCATCAAAGTTAACAGAGTAAAAATAACTGTCCTAATTTTTCACACAAACGGAGACCTTTCACCGAATGTCTGCAGGAACATTCATTGTTATTCTTTTATGTATTTATTTTTAAATACACCGTAACTCAAGAAAAACCATTTTACATTTTTTTTGTTCATAAACTAAGAATAATAATATTTTATTATTTTACGTTAGAACAGGCGCGGATCTAGGAAGATTTTTCGGGGGGGTTAGATAATTTTATCAAAAAATCATTCGTTTATTTAAAAAATAACAAAAAATACTGTACGCCAGCCTGTGCTTCTCTATTCTTCATTCGTCACAGTCATCTTGTCTTTTTTTGCTTTCTCGAAAAATTTCGTTGGTGTATTGGTAGAGTTTTATGTGGCAAAAAAAATGGTATTAAAATTTTGTCCGATAATAATACATAGGCGTAAAACTTGATTTTTTAAATAATTGCACTTTTAAAAATTCTACGCCAATGGAAGAAAAAGAGTTTGAGTATGAAATTTAGATTGCGCAACTCATTTGCTTTAAAAAAGGTACTCTTGATAAGACTCGATTACTCTCATGGTTTTGACGAAATTTCCATTTTAGTAATTTTAGAACATAAACAATAATTATTAAAATACAAACTTTGTCAAAACCATGAGAGTAAATCGAGTGTTATCAAGGGTACCTTTTTTGTAGTAAATGAGTACCCAATCGAAATTTCATACTCAAACCCCTTTTTTGCCATTGGCGTAGAATTTTTAAAGGTGCAATTATTTAAAAAATCAAGTTCTACGCCTATGTATTATTATCAGACAAAATTTTAATACCATTTTTTTTGCCACATAAAACTCTACCAATATACCAAATTTCAGCAAAATCGCATAAGCCGTTTTAAATTTATATGGGAAAAACGATTTAAAAATTGTAACTTCAAGGCCCTCTGGAGCCCAAACGAAGCAACTTTGTACTAAGGTAATTTTACTTAAATCGACTTATTTTGGTCTAAGGAATATGTGGTGTTTTTATAAAGACCTTCTACAGACACCCTGTATAATACTTTTCACATACTAAGAAGTAACATTATAAATTAAATGGAATTTTAGTTATTTTTTTTTGTTTTTTGGTTTTTCCAGGTATCAAACATGCCGGCACCCCTTTGGGACTTTTCGTCCCTAGGCAATTTCCTAGTGTGCCTAGTGGTAAACCAACCCTGTATCCTATATATGAAAAGATTGTTTTTATAAATTTATTTACCAAGTTACTGCGTTTTATTCTGGATATCTTTATACCTGATATGATAATTAATTATTATATACATAAAATTCTATCTTACTGATCATGCCAAAATATTGGTGCGACGTTTTTTCTGGAATGCCGTTTTTATTTGAGAAAATCCATG